GGATGTTCAAGCTGCTGATTCAACATTTTCTAAGGGTGTACAACTTTTGCACCGATTACATAAGCTATTATTTTTCTTTTCATCATGAGTACACTCTACCATGGTGTCGGTGTGTTGTTGTGACATATGCATTGAGCTGCAAGTATTGTAATTCATCCAGATGGCAGGAAGCTTTGGAATTGTTACTCCTATGGTACAGATGTTTAACAATCTAGCCATATGGCTCCAATAAGGCAGCCTTTTCAAAGATTTTTAGAAAAACTACACTAGACATGCAGCCTTGTAAATTTGAGTGCAATCCTGAGGTATGAATGTTCATATTGCTACGATATAAAAGCGTACGTCGTACGATGAAGTTGGCATGTCTATTGGAATTACAGAATTTATGAAACATTATTTAAAATTCTGAAAAGAATCAGGTCCTAAATTTGCATAATTTCACCGAGTCAGCTATTAAAAGAACATTCCTCATTTGTTCTTGAAATTCATTAAAGGTGTCAGACATAGGCTAGCTGAAAAGATGGGTAAATAACTACATGCAAATACAATAATGTCCCTAACCTCTGGCCTGAGCGAACTACCACCCTAGGTGACAAATTGAGATTCAACCAGTGAGACCAAGAATTTATCTACAAAAGGATTTGTCAAAGTCAAGGAGCCCTGATGATGGTTGTGGCAATTGTAATGTGGAAAGCTGAATGTTGAGAAACAGTCTGAGATCAATAATATCTTGGCCAAGAAAGGAAAGAACCATGAAATGGTCAATCTATAACTCTACTGAATTTTCACAGGTTTGAGTGACAGATGGCAGCAAATAAGATTGTTAAATCACTAACCCTGTCATTATTACATCCTGTCACATTGCATAGACTTATACATTAGAAAAAGAGTCTAAGGTATGAGAGTGAAAAATAAAACTGTTAAAAGCTAAAATATCTCAATCTGTGAAGAACAGGTGAATTCCCAACCCTGTGTTTCATGGATGTTTTTTTCTGCCAAAAAGTCAGATATAAGTAGATGCCGCTTGTAGTCCCCTCTTCCTTTTCTCTGATGCTTGGGTCTCTGACCCTTTGTTACCTAGCAGAAACATCTCTTATATAAATCTGTAGTGCAAGACTAAGATTAAAATGGACAGACTGAACAAAGCATTGGTCTCTCAGTCAAAAATGTATCCATTTAGTACACAGGGGATCTTTCCACCTGACATATTCTTAAAGGGAAATATTCAGTTACCATCTACTCAGAGGGTAAAAATCACGAAAGAGCCATGCAATGTTCCTTTTCTTTTTCTTTTCTTTTTCTTTTTTTTTTTTGAGCAGCAAAGTATTCAGAGATGCTTTATCTACCACAGATGCTAATCTAGGCAATACAATTTTAAAACATCCTTATGAAAACCTTGAAGGGCAGTTGAACTCTGTGGTTGTTTAAAAAAAGATTTTCTGCAGTTTATGCATTTGCTCTGCCAAAAGCTTACCTTAGCATACAAAGTATAGTAAATCATAGTTGCTCTGATTTACTACCCAGACTACGCTGTTTGTTTTCAGGGACAGCTCAGTGAAAGCTATGTCATGTATAAGAACATTCAGAGAAGAGGAATCATTTTGCAAAACTACCAGAATGGTAGCAACCATTTCTAAGACATCAATGGAAAAAAAATGCGGATGTGCATTTGCAGCATTTTCCAGGTGGTATTTTTTGAATACCATTACAACCCAAAAATATTCCAAGCCCTTTATAGGCACAAAGACAATTTCATACCCCAAAACTGTTTAGCCTAAGTATTAATGGGCTGGCCAGATGTATAACTTACCAGTCAACAGATTAAATTATTTGACCTTGTGCCTGAATTTCACCTTTTCTGGGGCAGTAGCATATAAAAATCTCAAAAAGGCAAAAAAGACACCAAAGAGAGAGTGGCAGAGCAAGCAGCTCAGGGTCAACCTGATTATTTAGAACTGAGGGTAGATTTTATTAGGCCTAATCCATTTAGTAGGTCCCAACAGGAGGACAAAGATAAAAACATATATCTGACATTCCTATAAAAAATAGTAAATGAGAAGGGAAAAGATCAAAACAGTAGCTGAAAGCCTTCACTCCTGCTTTAAAATCCAAGAAACAGTCATTAATAGAGATTTAAACTCAGCCTTCTCTAGTCTAAACATGTCACTGTTAATTACAAAGCTATTTTACTTTTGCAAGAAATAAAGACTGCTATTAATGAAAGAAGAACCAATTAGCCTTTAATCTACACACTGTTTTTTAATCAAACTTTCTTTTGATCATCAGACTCACTGTGGGATATATTCTCTCCTCCCCATGTTGCAGTGGCTTCCATGATTGCTAATGGAATAGATTTTAAGGGGCTGGCTGAGTGGGGAGAACCTTCTCTGCAGGGCTGGAGCTTCCTTCCCTTCATGTCAGTGGGGCTTAGCGGAAGCAGGCTCATCTCCGAACCGTGCTGCCCTACGACAGCGTAGGCAAGTGGAATGCTTTTGATGGTGTCTCCTGACCTGTCTCTTGTAGCAGCTGCTGTTAAAGGAGCAGGCACTGACCATGTCTGGAGGAATGTGGGACAGGAGTACTAGACTACCTTGTTAGGAAACAGCAGAAAATATCAGTTTAAAGAAAAGAAAAGAATAGGAAAGGGAAGGTGAGGAAAGAGGCAAAAGCAGGGAGGTGCCAGCAGGAAGGAAAATGGAATTCACTGCTGACTGCAAAGAACGATGAATGGCAGAATTTGCTGGTTGGCACAGGAACGTATCGTGGAAAACAAAACAAAACAAAACAAAACTAATGGGACCAGGGCTTGGTGTGTTAGAAACAAAAGGGGTGACATGGAAAGGATCGCATTAGCTAAATATTGTTCCTTCAAAATGAAATTGGAATTCACTGCTGACTGCAAAGAACGATGAATGGCAGAATTTGCTGGTTGGCACAGGAACGTATCGTGGAAAACAAAACAAAACAAAACAAAACTAATGGGACCAGGGCTTGGTGTGTTAGAAACAAAAGGGGTGACATGGAAAGGATCGCATTAGCTAAATATTGTTCCTTCAAACTGCTGCTTGCAGGGTCAGAGAGTTTCGATGGGATTTGGGTTTTTGTTGTTTTTTGCTTTTTGGGGGGTTTTGTTGTGTTTTGTTTTTCTGTGTGGCTACTTGTGGTATCAAAACAATAACCCCAAGTATCTAGAATCAATCATGATGGAGAACTTCTTCCTTTACATCATCTCGCTCTCAGCTGCACTTGCCGCTCAGATCTCCCAGGGAGGAGGATAGATAGAAAATGTCCCTGAGGCATGCACTTTGCATTTATGACCATGCAGATACTGAAATATAAGAACCTGACTCTTGCACATGTAAACAACAGAGAGAATGCAAGTATTATCTGCACTGTGTCAAACATGAAACTCCTGGTCTGACCAGATACCTGCTGTCTGTTCTGCATTAGCAGAACTTTGGTGTATAGTGTATGCTCTTCTTTCTCCACAATATAAAGACAAAATTTGTCTGGCAGCAGCAGAACTCTTGAGTATTAATGCTAACAAAAAAGCACTTTAAAATAAACATTAATATCCTCAAAGAATCAGAAAGTCTACAGAGATCTCCTGTTGTTGCAACCAGTATGGCAATTAAAAAACAAAAATATCAAGATTGCAGAGAGAAAAATGAAAATAAATAAATATGTTCTATGCCAGACAGGATTTTGAGCCAGAAAATTCAAGTTGGTAATAAAAGTATGTGGAACAACTGCTGAAGTGATATTGACACTTGAGAAATGTAAAGGTAAGTACTTACTTAACACAGGAAGGATTTTAGCAAAGACAATAGGCTACATTAAATGTTTTTCAGGACATGAGTAACAGCACTCCACGCTTCGAAAGATCAAATTATTACTCTCTGTGTAAAATAAGACTAATTCTAATGCCTTCTCTCAAAGGGCTGGTAATTTTTCATAGTCCAAAGCCCCTTTAATGTAACTGGCATAAAGGTCATTTAAAATGAGATTAGGGTCCATTCATGTTTTTGAGGTGCTCATATATTACAATATAAGTACAATATCGGTACTCAGATAAAAACACCAACAGAACTAGATAGAAATAGCTTTAAAGCACTCTGTCAAGTTATTTAAAGGTAGCTGGATAATTGTATCATTTTCACATTTAAATTTTTCTATAGCATTCTAAACCTGTCAATAAAATTTGCATTCTGATGCTGATCAAAACCTCCTTGTGTTTTTCTTGTGTCATAATCCCATTCTAACAAGATGTAGACAAGAAATCCCCAGCTCCACTCTCCTTTTGAGCAAAGTGTAGCAAATGCAATCTGTCTCAGAATACTTAGAAAGCTGCAATACTGAAAACACGTGACACTAATGTACAAGACATTTTTCATTAACAAAGCTCTTAGGTGTTGCTGAAAGATCCATTTCACTTTTTGTCCCCCTCAGACTGACCTAACACACTCCAGAGCTTTTTTATTTACTTATACAGTGCAATTAGGACAAAGTTCTTCTGACATTTGCGAAGTTTTAAAAAGAGCAAAATTATTGACATGTGAAACACAATGAGATTTTAACTGTTCTTACCTGAAGTAAGAACTTTCAAAGTTAAGAGGCAGAAACTTCACACTGCTTCTTATACTATGCAATAGTTCATTCCTGAGTGTTGTCAGTTCCTCTAATTCTTTAATGTTAGTGGATACTTGCATAATTTACTCCCCAAAGTAAGGTCTGATTCAAGAAAGTACTCAGGAACTTGATTAACTCCCTCCCCAATGATTTCAGCAAAATTTTATTTAGGTGCTTGAAATGCGTATACCTGAAATGACCTGAAATGTTCTGTATCTGCAATTCTGACTGAAATCAGTGAGACCTGAAGGTTCTGAGCAACTCTGAAAATCAGCCCTTAATATTATTACTGCAATAAATTTTTAATTTGTCTACAGCTCCTCCAAAAATTACTTTTAATTGTCACATCTGAATAAAAGCTCTGTACATACGTATACAGTAGTCTCCACTTTCGTAATATCCAGGGCAGCACTGAGATCTTCGCCGATACATAGTTCTTAGTCCTCTTCGATATGCTGTCTTATAACTTATTCTAAATTGCAAGACAGAAAGCCATTTGACAATATTGAAAATCAATGCCTACTGTTGGAATTATATTTGTGTTAAATTACAGTAAGGATAGCATTCAATAATTATTTTAAAATGCACGAAAGCTTTTGATATTAAAAGCCACAATAAAAAAAAAAAAATCAATACTTGTTTTGAAACTTGAAATATAACTTGTATTATAAACACAGTACTCATGACAATCACCGTAGCCCTTCCTAGGACCGTTATCTTAAAACATTTCCCCAGTCCTAAAGCAAGGGCAAGGCGTTTTTCAAAAATAAACAATTCATTTCTGCATATCAGCAAGGTCAGCTATCATCAATGGAATGAACAGAATCTTTTACGGAGACCACTGTGTCAGCGTGCTACACAAGAAATTATCACAATGGAAACTGCTCTCAACACACAAAACGTGACGATAACCCCAAGTGATTTCTTCCTACTTGCTAACCCTTCCAAGGCATTAATGCCTTCAAAATGACATTATAGTCCCAGTTCAGTATTTAAAGCATGCTTTCCCCACCTGAATCTCTAGTGCACAGAAATTAAAAGGTGTTAAGCATTCTGTAGCTTTTCTAGACTTATTCATAGCAATAACAATGATACCACATTAGAAAAGGAATATTTAACAGAGAATATTTAACAGCAAACACTTCAAAACAGCTTTATTTGTGTTAGTTTATTTGAAATTACCTAAATTGAACAAAATCTGTTGTCCCTCGTGTTAGATAAACTGACACAATTTACTCTGCTGCATTCCAAGCTATACAATAGTCCAGAAAGCTCTGCATCTCTGTTCAATTCCGTACATTGTAACACAGAAGCTAAAACGCAAAATCCCACAGTCAGTCTGGGACGGTGCTAAACAACCTCTTTGCTACCGAATGCGTGAAAGTTATGGCATCAAGTAGCTTGCTAAAACCCCCTTGAAAGATTGCAAATATTAGTCGATGTTTATTAGGATACTTTTCTGCTTGGAATCAGAATGAATATAACAGCGATTTCTTGCAGCCTGGGAAAATTAACTGTTTACTATCAGCTTTCATTCAGTGCTAGAAATGGACCCATCCTCATTTTACCTGATTTTCAATACAGATTTGGTTGCAGCATTTCAAATATGGATCCATTTATAACTATGACTAACTCTCAAGTGCCTGATTCTTCAAGATTTAGGAGCTGCAGGGACTTCCTACCATAAACCTGGACATACCCTGATCACTTGGTTAGGATAGCTGCTCATGTTTGGTCGCGTAATCAAAACTCCGAATCCCTTGGCGGGGTGAATGGCAAGGATACATACTCCTGAATGGTCCCATAAGAGACTGACTCCCATCGATCTCACTCATATTTAATGCAAAAATCTACTTCAGCTGGTGCCCTAGAATGCCAAGCACCCTGGCTATTGTACTAAAATACATCTTTCCGTACATATCTATATTAGAGTACCACAAAAATTTGATTAAATATCAAAGTTCTGTGAGGAGATAAAAAGGCAAAATAAAACTAAAATATCTGGGGATCAGCTCTTACCTATGTCTAGTGCACTTGAACCAGTTCAGTATGTCAGTACATCTTGTATAATAGATCTGATCAAAAGGATGAGCATACGATTCCTGTACTGTCACAGCGTAGCTAGAAGTAGACAAAGAAAGAAAGTGAAAAGGTGTTTGTTGCAACATGAAAAGCTTCAGTTCCCTGCATATGCGACTCCTCTAACTCCAGTATGAAAAATAATTAAATCAATAATCTTAGAAACTTTGGGCATTATCGAAAACCAGAAAAGGGTTTCTTTCCCTCAACCACAGCTCTTCCTGAAAATTTTGGAAATGCTTCTAACTTGGGCTTCATAACTGAAATAGGCATAGAGATTTCAGTCTGAGCAATAAACCATTCCCTTCTGGAAAAGTAACAAGTGTTACTAAAATTCATGGCAGTTTAGAAGGTGAAAAGGGCATTTGGTTAACTTGATAGTGCAAATTTTGAAGGAGAGAAAAGCACCATGTTTTTAAAATGTCTCCGTTGCCTTCCTGCCTAGGACTGTTAATGTTTGCTCGTATTCCACAATGCTAATAAGAGCTCATATTAACTTAGCACTGCTGCATTTTGCCAGCATGATGGGATGCTCACGCTTCATTTTATGATGAAGCAGCATCATTACTTCAAATATTCGGTGCACCAATCAAACAGCATCATTTGTAAAAGGTTGAAGAGTGCTTCTTTTTCTGCTGCACAAATTTAATCCTTTTATTTTGTAGCAGAAATAACCTCAGAACGATCTGAAAATTGTAACATGAATTAACTGGTATCTAGATTTGGAACACTTTGACATACGGTTAAAATGGGATTACTTGCCTTTGTACAGATGAATGGATATAAATTAAAAAATGGGCAAATTGATTAGAAAACACAGAGCTCCAACCATACTAAGAATTCAGCAATCTCCTTCCCAAAACACCACTCATTCATGCAACAGGTACTATATTAATGACTATGATTATTTTGAAAGTGTCTGGGCCTCTCACATGATATAAGAACACAAATCTCATTGACTTGTTAGTGTCAGTCATTTTAGAACGTTGTATTGCCCTACAGTAAGTGTGTGCACTGCTTAAGAGACTCATAATCTCAGGTTCTGACCTGGAAACAAGCTCTACTTTATCAGATCTACAATATCTTTGGAGAATGATACTGAAGTCATTCTAGGCAGGGTCAAGACCCAGGAATTAGATCCTCCAAGTCATTCATTACATCGATTGTCTTAATCATCCAAGTGATTTCCTTCTCATCAACACGACTGCGGATGTGATTAAGCCCTGTGAGATTGCACCCGTAAGGCAATACCAAAATATTTTCTTGGAGGGTCTGATTGGCTTGAAATTGGACTATTACTGCCCTGCTCGTCATGCCCCTTCTAGACAAGCCAAAATTCTACTAGACGTTGCTTTTGCCCTCTATCACAATTTGCTGCGTTTGACAATAATGTTTTAATTTTTACTAATGCCAAAATGTAAAATACTTACATTGCTCATTATTAATGTAAAACAGTAACACTCACAAATCTTGATTACTATTTTATGATCCTGTTAGTTATCCAGCAATTGCCCTAACAATCTTTTCCCTTTGATTTATTAACATCTAAGTAACAAAGTCATCTTGGTCAGTACAACCAATCAATTTTGGTATTTAATTTTTGTTTCTCCTTGATTGGGTCTCTAGGTTGCTGACTTTCTTCAGACAAAATCAATATTTTATTCCTGTGCTCTGAATGCACTTCACCTCACAACGCAGACTGCAAAATCCTATTCCTGTACAGTCTTTGCTTTGCAGCTGCATTACCTACAAACAGTTAGTTCTCTAATTAAGGCCTCTAAAATCAAAATATAATGCCATTAAAGTATGATTCCATTTTTGCTCTTGTTAAGGGGTTTATTTTGCTAAAGTGTACAGTAATTCATATTTGTGTGGAACTAAACCACAGAACAGAATTGGAAATCTAGCGAGCTAAACTTAAGAGTACAGGATCTTTAGCCTCTGCAAACAGACCCTGCATGAACATGAACTCTATCATCAAAGCTGGTGGGTTTCTATGCACTCACAAGAACTGTCTTGCACAGATCCACTTTTAGGATGAGGACATTGTAACAATAGAGAGAACAGAATTACTGGGGCCTTTAATTCTCAGTGCTTTCATGCAGATACTCTTTGATGCTGACACGAATTTGGCAGATACAGCCACAAAGTTCAGGCCATACAGAATAAGCCTGCATGTTGCAGCAGGAAGGGCTTAAAACTTAGGGGAAATCTCTAAGAGTCTTGCTTGACAACAACCAGGAAAAAAAAGACAGAACAAGGCCACCATTTCTCTAGGTGTCTCCCTGATAAATGAAAACAGTGCAGTCCTCTAGCTGGATCTATGGAGGGGCTTTCCAAAGCAGAGCTGAGCAGACAGGTAACACAGGGGTATGTGGTCTGTAGCCCTAGCTTTAGAACCAATTCTTTGGGATGATCCAAATCCTCAAAGGCAATCAGAAGTGCTGTTTCTGTCATGCAAATCCAGGTTCTTTTGTGAGGCAGGGTGGTATTTAGCAAATGATGGCTCTTATTTTGCCTTTTAAATGTAAAAATCTGAAACAGCTAGTAAAAAAAAAAATTGGCATGTTATACATTACCTTTCCCAATGACTACAAACATTTGGATCATCTGGGTTTAGGGACAGAGTAGTTTTGAGCAGAAAAGACAGAATAAGCCCTTTTAGAATCCACCTGAACAGCATACGCACCACCATTGTTGTATCTAGATAAAGAAAAAGTATAGCCATTAAAGACAATTTTGAAAAAAACATCCTTCTAGGCCTTTTCTTCCTTGCTTTTGTGCAAATCCAAATACTGTGGAGTTATTTACAAACTGAAAGACTTGAAAAAGCAATCAACTAAACAGTAAAATTTTTTAAAAAGTGCAAATGCATTCTAAAAGGAATTTATATGTTTAAACCTACTAAAACTGATGAATTTGATGATTAAGCTACTCAAGATATTGATAGCCCCAATGATTCTTCCAAGGAACAGTTCTGATCCTGATCATTTTTATGGCTGGCTGGCTGGCTGTACCAACAAAATAAATAACTGGGGTATTAAAACAATCTATTCTCCCATCAACCTATAGGCAAATGGAAGAATAGCCAAATACCCCCTTTGATTTATGTAAGCGGGTTTTACATGTGTCAATATAGCAGGCTGGACCTGAGACATATGCTTATTACATGACTGAAGGAAAATCAATTCATTTTTCAGCTCTTGGATGGGGGGGATCACTTGGAATGGCCGAGGTCACATTATGCAGAACACTAAACATGAAATAAAAATATTTGCATTGAAGTTGGAAATAGACTGTGTAAAATCCATTAGGTGTGGTCTCTTCGTCATCTTACAGTTCATCTATTAAATGTACTGGCTTATACCTACTTATTGCTCATCTGGGGCTTTGAAACCAAAGTCGTCGTGTTTGCCTAGAGGTCCCCAATGACATCAGTCAAAAATACAAAATAGATAGGAACTATGGAACTGCTTTTAGATGTAACTGCATCAGAGGTGTTAATCTGTTAAACGTTAAGTCATAAAAAAATATTTTTAAATATCCATTTCAGGCATTTACATCGTCACATCATCCACCATTAAAATCAAAAAAACCATAAATTATTCCTGGCAACAAGATTGCCCTAAAAATAGATTGAATCTTCATGTGATCATCTAAAAAACACATGGCTCATTGCCTCGTGGTCCAGAACAGCAGAAGGGATGTTAAGGGGTTTGCTCTGCATGGCACTGATATACAGCCCAGCATAAAGAAGTCATCACAAAGCAGAATGAACAGCAGAGGGATAGCCAGGAAAGCTGATCTGAAATTACCTCCTGATTCAAAGCCTTCTAAGCTAGTTCAAGGACACCCATTGCCTTTAGTGGATTCGAAGTCAAGATCCCAATGGGAGTAATAGCTCATTCTTTTAAATTATTCCTAGAGCTCTGCTAAACCCAAAGATAGGTCTTAAGCCATGTAAGTATATTAATGTTAATTAACATGATTTAATGTTAATGTTCCTTATGAAATGGATTTAAGTCTATGAGTGACCATTCTCTACCTGTGGGCTGTTTCAAAGTCCCATGGCAACAATGCAAAAGCTTACTCCGGAAATTAAGCGGGCTGACGAGAAAAGGACATGAGAGAGAGTTCTGTTTATTGGAAAGACATTCGCTACACTTGTCCTAGGCACTACTTCTCCATGGAGGAAAAGTGTCTCGATAAGCTGACCTGCAAGTACTCATAGGCCAAAAGTCAGTTTTGAGCCTAATGTTCAAAAACTGAGAGCTTGTTTGAGAGTAGAACTGATCTTTCTTTTAACATAACATGTACCCATAGATGTGAACTACTCAAGTATGAGGCTCAACAAAATGACAAACAGCCCTTTAACAAAAATATCTTCAAAGGATGCCTTTAACGTATTACACTAGCTACCATTTGAATAATACCAAATTACAGAGGACAAGTTCTACTGAGCACTATTTATAGGTTGCAATTTACCTCCTTTGCTCATTCTCTACACCTTTGGTACATGGCAACACCAAACAAACAGGACTAGAGGAAAGCCTGCTTCTAATCGACAGAAATGGTCAAAGCAAGAGCAAGGCAAAACTGCTTAAGGAAATACAGTCCTCGAGAGGTGGATTTTAAATCAAAACATAGCTCTGTGCTCAGTTTGTTAACTTCTTGAGAACATCAAGAGCCTGGGTTTATCCCTAAATCAGTTAAAGGTAGAAAGACAGCCTGTCTTCAACCTAAAGAGAATGAGCCTTTTCTCATTTACCTAAAGCAGCCCTCTATTTGAATTCTGTAGTCCTCAGAGTTCTCAAGTTGTTCTTAAGAAAACAATGTATCAGTTTAGTTTTTAGAGCAAATAAACACCAAAAGAATTATTTATATGCCTAAATAATGTGCAGAATATTTGTTTACAATGTATTTGAAAGAGGTTCATAATTGTTTTCTAAACTTTTAATGCTAATGGTATTTTACTATCTGTTTATAAATTAACTGCTTTGTGCAATTAATTTTATAACTTTGTAAGTCAGATCGTATATCAGAAACATCCAACTCTCCAAATACAGCAGAACCTCATTCATCTCAAGTGTCTCTTTTTCTAACTCAAATGAAATATTTCACTTTGATGACTGTTAATAGAAAAGACCTCATACCAAAATGGAATGGTTGCTATTACAAGATTCAGAATAAAACTCTAAAAATAGAAGCACATATATTAAAAACCAACATCAAAAAAGAATCCAGTAATGACATCTAATATGGGGTTTTTTTCAGCTTTTATTGTTCAGCATAATATATACTACATTCCTGCGTCTCATTTAATGTTTGGAACATATTCTCCAAGGAGGCAGCATCAGACTTTCAGGGGGACAATGCCTGTAACTTCATTAAAGATATAGCCAAATTATATAAACATTTCCAGTGTCTGCCACTGCCACTCTCCCGAGGACAGGCAGCCTTTTGAGCTTAACAAGAAAATAAATGACACATAGGTCTTCTGTGCAATCCCTAAATGGACTCTAACTTTTTGTCTCTCCGGGTCTGATTTTTCTTTTCAGGAGTGTAAAAGTCACTTTAGGTACAACTTGGCAAGAAAGAGGGTCTTTCAATCCAAAATACATTCTGGTGATTTTTCACAAGTGTCTCACTCTCTGTTAATGATAATGGATTAGGTTAGGTATCTGTTACTCATTAAGCCATTTTCACACACCTTGCTCCCTCCTTTTTGAATAAATTTCAGTACTTCACCTACAGTATCGATACAGGTCACTGGTTCCATTGCAAAAGAAAAGGAAACACACTTTCACTGTTAAACCCCAAATCTTAGCTATAGAAAAACTAGTAGGTGGCAAGTCATTGATTTATTTGTCTGTGGATTCACTTTACAAAAACCTTTGTTGAGAAAACTGTGCTGGGGTTTGCAAAGAGACCAGAAGATACAGATGATCATTTAAATTGGATGAAATACGCGAGACCGTGGACAAAAGCTGGTTGTTGCTCTCTTTTGCAGTTCATACAGCACAAGCTGAGGATGACAGTACCCCACAAGACTGAGACCTCCATGCGAAGAAAATAAGACCCTAAAAAATCCTTGCTCGATGAAGAAAATATCCTCTAAAGCTTTCTCTAGGTGTTGAGGACCTAGCTTTGGTAATATTCTTGTAAAAGAGGACTAGTGTATACTTTAAGAGGCTGGGAGAAAGAAGAAAAACAAAACTGAGACCACAGATTAAATTCCTCCTCTGCTTCCTTGGCTGACAGACTCGAAAATTTAACTAAAAATGACCATTAGAGAATTTGCTGTTCAGGGGCAGAAGTAGTGAAACATTTCTTGTTGACATTTCTGTCATAAAGTATTTCATAACATGACTTTGACATGAAATTCAAACAGAATTTCGAATCCATGACAAAGTTCTAAATGGAATGCTTTTGTCCCAGTTTGGGATGAAATGAGTTCTGAGCCAGGCAAAAAACTAATTTGGTGTCCAGCTGTAATTAGGGAAAACATTTACAGAAGTGTCTTTCACTAGCATGCAATATTCTTAAGTCCTTATATAGTTTTGAAGATCATTTCTTTAGATGTTTAACTGCATATGCAGTCAATTAACCTAGCCTGAATTTTCCCACAAACTTCCACGCAATGCATTTAACAAAAAGCCATATTCAAAAGTCTTACCTCAAAGTGCTAAAAATTCCTAATGGATCCTCTTTTTACAGACTATCAGCACATGAAGACACGCAGCACGTTAACAGGATAGCAGAAGAAAGCTCTTCAGAAGTTTCTTGGCCCTGTGAGCAATCAATTAGAAAAACAGAAAACATATTGGGTCAAAGAAAGCATGTTTGGGGGAGTGGAATCAAATTAACACAAATGAGATAAACAATTCTAAATAATTACATATCGTAAGATAATTGTGCTATATCAGACCAAAGACCGCTATCCTGCTCTCAGCCAATAGCAAGTGTCAAGGAAAGAGCATAAGGCGACGGCTGATAGCAGTACATCCCTTTTATACCCTTCTAGCCTCCAGCAATTTGCAGCTTTCTGACTTCCTCAGCCACGAGTGGTACCTTTGTGTTTAATAGCATTTGATGGATTCTATTCCAATAATTTGTCTAACCATTTTTGATCTGTTAAAATTTAAATTTTAGTGTCCACAACATCCTGTGATGGTCTCACATGTACTATATGAAATACTTCCTTTGTTTTCCTGTCTGCCTTCTCAATTTCATTTGATGCCTCCTTGCTCCTCTGCTAGAAATCAATCACTGATTCTCAGACTTTGTTTCCTATCATATAAACAATATTTTGTTTACATACAGACTTTTTCTTCTGTTATATCCCAAGAAGAAAGTTCAGCTTCTTTCAGGAAGTTTGATGAAAGACTTTGCAAAAGCCTTCTGGAAATCTAACTGGATCTTCTTGATCCAAATGTATACTTCAAAGAGCTTTAACAATTTATGAAGCCTTTACAAAGCAAGGTTGATTCTTTATACATGTGTTATATTTATCAAGAGGTTCCCTAATTCTGTTCTTAATTATAGTTTCTACCAAATAGGAAAATCTAGGTGCGTCAAAATTGAAATGTATTCTAGTATTTGTATGCAAGCGATTAAGGAAAATGCAAGAGAATAGTTAAGCCAGAAAACAAAAAGTTGGATTTCACTGAAGAAGCATTAAAGTGACTGAGTGTTTGCTGATTACACTATTTTAGTCTCTAAGTAGTAGCAAGCTTCCAACAAGCTGCCCTCTGTGGCATTCCTCCTTCTCATCCCATCTGAAATTTTCATGATAGTTTAGGCAAGGGATCATTTAAACACACACTTCATTTGGCTCTACATCAGATTTTGTTAGAAACAAGCTGTTATGAAAGCTAAATGAGGCCATGAGTTTCAAAACTGATCAGGATTTTTTGGATGCCTCCATTATGATTAATAACTTGAGATACCATGAAAGGGCTGAATAATATGCAGAGCTCAGAATGTATGCTAAGGAACAGGTCGTTTTCATCTGGGCAGTCAAGAACTAAGCCACTCAAACTCAGTAGTCACCTCTAAAAAGTGTTGCCATGACCAACAGAAATATTGCCAATGACAGGCTGTGATTTTGTTTTGGTTTCAATGAAAATTTAAAGCAGTTTTAAACAGATAAACACTTCCAGGAAGGATCAGGTACTGAATACAAAAACACTGACAATGTGATTCTTATCATCTGAGCACAGAAAAATTCAAGTGATGGAAGAACTAGCAGAAACACCAGACTATGCAGTGGGTTGCTGGGTTCCCTCTACTGACATCTTACACGATTAATGCAGGCAGACAGTAGACAAGAAGCTGCCTCTGTTAACAAAAGCTGATATTTCAGTTAACAAGGTCTATTTAAGCCTCTAGGAGTCATTGTACTGAGGGCAAATTATTATCCCTTACACGCAGGGCAAAATAACTGGTCTATAATTTGTGCTACAAAACCCATGCTGTCAGTCATACATTCACCTTTTCCATGGTCTCCTTAAGCACTGCTCTCTTTAAGGTTTGTGTGCATCTCTGCCTGTGATTTCAAGAAGGCAGTTCAATAGCTGAAAATACTTGGAGTAGATACAGAAGTCACGACTATTCACAAATATCCCTGATACCATTCCCAGACACAAGTCTCCTGTCACCTAGAGGTGACATAGACAAGGGGAGAAACAGAGCTGACCAGGACAGCACAACTGTTTTTGACTTTCAGCAGGTTTCCTTTGCTCACAGGCTCACCGCACAGGACCAGTTTGCACAGTTCAGTTCCTTGAAGAGGCCAGTCCCAGCAGTGGCACGAGCTAGGAACAGACCAACAAGATGTACAAAACTGGGATCTTTCGTACCTTACACTTGAGTTCATACAATGGAGACAGGCTTGT